CTTTCTCCATGCTCTCCCACTCACCTCCTGCTCCCTGATACCTCCTCTGGGGCTTGCCTTCCTCCCCTCCCAGTGAGGCACCCACAACCAGGACAAGGGAGCCATTAAAGGGCTGGTTTGTGTCTGACTAGTGGTGCAGAGCGCCATGTGAAAAGCTTAATTTTAAATGTCCAGGGGGATTAAACCTTGCAGGAGGGAAGCAGTACGCTTGTGTGTGTGTATTATCAGGAATTTGAGCATGTGTGACTGGCCTCGGCCCTCAGTTAAAGACATATGATTTCAATTAAGGCTCACAACCTTTTTCTCTTCCTCGACCCATCCCCCTCTCGTGTGTCTACCACTTTCTAACTTTCTAATATATAGTTGGGACAGGAGGTAAAACCTCTATCATCTCCCATTCAGTTTCTTATTAATCACAGTAACTTTTAATAGCAGTAACAAATAGCAGAACCCAGCAGTGTTCTATCTTTATGCTTTCTTTACTTTTTTGGCACATATGCTCTTACATGGCCAGCCTTCCTGAAGCATTAGCCATGCTTGGTTACCACTGAAAAACAGGTCAGTAAAATCAGATGGCGGCCTAAATTTATGAGCATACAGCGATAGATGATATTGGTTCTTACAAATAGTTACTGCTATTGGTTCCTTATCTGCATTCTGTGTTCCTGTGATTTCTCTTCCTCTTAGACAAGAGGAATGTAGTCAAGCCTTAGGAGAAAGTGTGGCTACTCTCAAGAGAGAAAAATTTCATTCAGTAAATGTATTTTGTTGAGGTCTAAAGATGAAGAAGAAAGTTGCGCATATTAATTTTAAAGTGTTATGACTAGATTTGAAAAGCAAGAATGGAGAATGAGCAGAACTTGGGCGATTAGGCATTCAGAAGATTAATGCAGCTATCACTTTAAGGCAAAATCTCCATTAAACCTCTAGTACACCTTTGAAATAGAAGAATAAATCGCTGTAATGGAGAAGTTGGCTTAAATCTGATATTTGTAATAAAAAGAAAATCAAGGCACTATACTTTTAGAGCAACATGAAAGCACTAAAAGGTTCTGAATGTTACCAAACTGGCATTTTTATAAGGCAAGTCCCAGATGTGCAGCCTTATAAATCTACCATCCATCCAAAGGAAATATCTGTGGAACAGACGTGCACAACCAGAGAGGAAAGAGTGTTATGAGGAGAACAAAAAACGACAAAAGGAATGGCTGGAGTATGTGGTTCAGTTGCCTTTGAAGCAAAAGGAAGCAGACCATATCATGCAGGGTGTTACGGTGAAAATGGGTAAATCTGTACTTGCTTCTGACAAGAGAGAAATCTAACTAAACAAGACTTTTTAAGAACTTTGGCATTGGTTTTACTCATTTCTTTTCACCGTGAAAATGTTATGACCCATGTGGGACTGGTTTTAAGTTTCTGATCCCCTTTTTCACTGAGATTGTATTCTCTTGGAAATTATACATCTTAGCTTGATAATGAGCTGGACAAAACCAGCTCATTTTACATCCACACATTTGCATGATGTTAAGAGTTTCGGGCATCTGTTAAGATGTCTCCTGGGCACCTCCCTTTGGAGTTTTTCTGGGCACACCCAACTGGGAGGAGACCCCAGGGTAGAGTCACAACCTGCTAGAGAGATTATATATATATATATCATCTGTCTTATTTATTAATGTTTGGAATGGATTATACACACCTTCTGGCCTATTACTAGGCGTGCTGTGCTTAATTTGAAGATAATTATAGGGGTGGCGATGGCCGACAATGGGTCTTTAATGGGCTGATACCATTTGAAGAAGGTGATTCTTTTAATCTCCAGTATTGTTATTTTGTGTCAAAATGCAGTGCACGAAGCACGCACCATGCAACTCGACTGCTGATCATTTCTGATAATTAAAAGATATTTGCTAACTCCATATTCACATTTTTTCGGGACATTAGATCTGCCGACTTTGACTCAGTTGGCTTTATCAGAATTTGCAGTCGTACTTCCCAAAACCTGTTACGTTCTCAGATGTGAAAAAGTAGTATTTCTTGTCCTTAGGCCAGAGGGTGTTTTGTGCTGCACAGATTACTTATCTGTGACAAGATTGATATTTGAAGTCAGTTTAAGAAAAAAAAATCATTCTGATAGAAAAGATAACGTTATACATTAACTTGTGGTTACCTGTCCCTCGCATCTCACTTGTACACATTAGTGTCATAACTGTAATGCCTTTACTGTCATTCTACTGCAGGGGCATGTAACGTAATACACTCTCAGGAATTTTCCTTTACGTGTTTTGTTTGGTTTATTTTAATTTCCTGAATCACCTACATGAATGAGCTTGCTTGTTGAAAGTTATTGTTCTGATTTTTATCTACAGATTTAGCCCCTGAATAAATATGAGAAATGAATAACGAGTGCTAAACAAAAGCATGTAGCAACAGTGACTTCTGAAGAACTTCACCCTTGTAGCGCTTGGTATGTTCTTAAGGAACAGTAAGTTCTCAAAGGGTTGAAATGAAAAGGAAGCCGGCAGTAAATCATCGTATTGGAAATTAAAAAGAAAACCTGTCAAAGTGGAAGGAGGGAAGGGATTCGAGCAGCCGTGTGATACTGTAAACCATTAAACAATATTTACAGTCATCGAAACCAGTGTTATGACTATATTTTTAGCCGACCTCTCTTGCCATACTGTAAATAGAACTAAGAACTGAGTGTAAGTACTGCAAATAGTACATTTCTTTCCAAGGGAGTCTTTATTTTTGTCAGAAATACAGAACCTTTGGAGAAAGTGTGTTACTGTACCCCCGCACCCCCATTCCTTTTGGATGACGATGGGGCTTGCAGCACTGTACATTTCTGATTGGTTGAGTGTCAACAAGGGTTTATCTATATCATGGTCATTCCTCAGATGACCTTGTAAAAATGGTTTGCTCACCATAAGTTTAGCCTTTTTTGTGCTTTGAAATCACTTTGCTTTCAGTTGACTGTTTACCAGCAGCCACATTATTTAAGTAATAAAGTATGGTAAAGAGCACAAGTGTAGGACTCTTCTCCATGCTTACTTGCACTGTCGCCTGTCTGTTGACAGTCATCTCTACCTACTGGATTGGACTGGTCTACGGTTAAGGTTAGGGTTAGGATTTGAGCACTTCAAAAATGATGTGGAGTTTGCCTCCTCTTCGCAGTTTTTTAGACCACTGTGGATAGACAGACAACCTACGATCTGAAGGAACCATTTAGTTTGAGCTAAGGCGAATGAGGGTAACTTTGATTAAATTCCCATGAAGTCCCCCATCTGTACAAACAGGGCTAAAGATAACGACTGGAATCTGGTTTGGCTATTCCACTCAGTGGTAAGAATCAGGCTTCGGCTTGTCTCGTTTGCTTGGAGAGAGAGCCACAGAGAACTGGGTGTTTCTGACATCCTGACCAAAGACGGTTTGGCTCTCGGTTTCTAAGAGTGCTGAATCTCCTGTCTGCTTGTCTCAACTTTACCATGAATGGCTATCTGCTAGCACTTTGCCCAGAGAGTTACTGTGAGAGTTATATTTGTCTTTATTGTCCATGGTTGTTGGGAGAGTCAGATGAGATGTTTTAAATTTCTTGAAAGTCATCAGTCTTGACTGCAGGAGAGAATGACGAAGTGTTTTCCCAAGACCAGGATGTGGGGTTGTTGGTGTCGAAGAGGCGTTATGAAGTAGTAATTAAAAACTCTGTGTGTGTGTGTGTGTGTGTGTGTCTGTGTGTGTGGTCCAGGCGAGGGCAGAGAACAGGATGACATCCAGCAGGACCCTTCTGTTGAAATGACAGGTGTCCTGTCTGCAGAGGCGGTGAACCTCCACCACCTGTGGCTAAGGCCCTTTAAACTAGCCCAGACATAGCCACACATACACTTGCACACATGCACGCACTCAAACTCATTCTAGTGTCTCACAGTCAACAACAATCTGACTGTCTCCCTTACTGGTGCTTACTGCTGCTTAACTTGTAAACAAGTCATTTTATTCTTAGCTGAAATGTGTATAGTCTAAATTCATGGGTATGCGTGGGCCTCGTCTTTAGTAATTCAAGCTTGCTATTTAGCTCTCATATTCAAAGCACTAAAACACCATGAGAAGTGGTGACATCATTGCAAATGTTGAAATAAAACCTTATCTGTAAAGTTCACTGTCTGATACGGATGAGCCAAGCTGGCAGTGGGCGTTATCACTGAAGCGTGCTGATAAACACAGAGTTGTCTCACTGTTGTCAGTGTTGTGTTGGTGCAAATTCATGATAAGGGCGTTGACCCAGCCAAAAACACATTTACTGCGCATACAGTGGTGTAATTGTAGATTGTAATTGTCTCTGCATCTGCCCTGCATTAGTCCGGCACATTCTTCCAAACACGTTGAACACAGAAATTATATGGCAAGAGTCTAGAAAGTCTGCTGCAGCATGTCAGAAAAATAATAATTTAATCTTCTGCAGTATCTCAGCTCTGTCATCAACCATGAAGGTTTCATCTCACAGAAGTAGCCAAAAAGCAGTACTTAAAATACACAAGTTAATCTGTTTTGACAGAAACATCTGCAGGAAATCTAATGCGAGCTCCTTCTTAATAAGCCTTGGTATTAAACAGGGAACAACACAAATGAAGTGGAAAAAGTTTTTCATTTAAACCTCATTGCTGCAAAGCCTCATTCGCAAACAACTGTTCATTTTCTCTCTGACGACTTGTGGTTTTCTAGTCAGGACACCACCGGGTTTGTTTTCTCTTTCATGTTCTCTTTTTATTCTCATTTCCTGAACCAGAACATAATGTTGTATGAGCTATAATAGCTCATTATCCTTTTTTCCTTCCTTATTACATTAGCAATTCTCCCTTAATGTAGGAAACTTACCAAAGAATCAAAGTTTCTCTGTAACTGCATACATTTTCAACCATAAAATTGTGATGTTTTCCTGTGATGCTGGCATCTGCTCTTCCTGTTTGGTAAACGTGTCTCCTCTTTTCTTTCCTTGGTTTTAGAATTTTCGTCCGATCACCAGCGGATATGCCAGTTACACCCGTAAACCTTCATATACCGCTGAACCCCAGTCACCTCAGGTTCCTCAGCCCGCTAACCTGAATAACGGACACTCCAGACCCAACAACGGACACAGCTATGGGTATGGCAATGGAACCGGGCACTCTCAGTACAACAACCCTGCAGGACTATATGCTCACAATGGAAGCAATGGGGACAGATCACTGCCAAGCAAGATGGGAGGTCTCAGCATCAGTGCCACACACAGGTGAGACAACAATACCGTGTGCTTTCCAGGACTGTAAATCATAAGCATCCAGCCACACCTTACTTGCACTTTTGACAGGATAATCTACAGTTACTGTAGCGCTTCTTATTTTCAAATATTTACCCTCCTCTTTAAAATAAATGCAGAAGCAACACCAGTTTTTATTCTGAATGTTCTAAAATCCAATAAGTATAAGTAAATAAGTATAAAAAATCTTCAAATTTAGTTTAAAGTCTATTATTATAATGCAACAACATTTTCTTTTACTTATCTTGTGCACTTATCCCAAGTTTCTGGTTACTTCGCTAGCTAGAAATCCAATTTGTTGTTGTGTTTACCTTAACAACAACAAAAAAGAAATCAATGAACCACGTGTATATAATAGCTGTTTATATCAGATTTCAAAATATCCCCCTCATGAGTTTTCATGGACCTTTTTACACACATTGTATCTGTGGGAAAATCACACAAGGAAATAGCTTTACCTTTCCCTCCACTGCTCCTAAAAACAATCATCCTATCTATTATTAAAGCCTCACCAGTTTCCTCACAGGTCCCTGTGCAGACACTTAACACAGAGACACAGAAACAAACACACTCTGGATGTCTTTTGATACAACTGCACAGTTAGCCTTGTGGACTGTAAAAGGCATTTGCTGTCTTGTATCCCCTCAAGTGGGCAATAAATGTGCATGTTCAGTCTCCCGGTGAAGATGCTTTTGAGCACTCCTAGACAAAGCCCCCACATACGCACACAAAGTTGCACTCAAGTGTTTTAACACTATCTCTGTTGCCTGCTGTCAGTCAGTTTCTCTTACACACATATTACACAATTCTGTCTGCTCTCGCTTTCTCTCAATCACTCTCACTTTCATGACAGCTCAGGCTTTTTCTCTCAGACACACAGTCAGACTCCTGAAAGGGCATCTGGAGACAGACTTGTATTTAAGCGTGTCTGGACTTGCACACATCTGTCAGCAGTCCTAGTCATCTTCCAGAAGTTAGAATGTTTAAACTTTTCCAAATGACGGGAAGCACTGGGAATAATTTGATAGATGACATAAGGAACAGAAGTATAATACAAAGCTGTTTTGATTAAGACTTCATGCCTTGAGACAGAAATACAAAAAAATGACGCACCGATGCGCTCTATATATGCAGTTTTAATTAGAAAAGAAAAATACTGTAGTTCTTTCTTACTCTTTCTCCTTACCGCATATGGCTACAGCCATCTGAAACTTTGAGTTTCTTTTATTCCTCCCTTGGTCCCAAAACACATTTTGACATCACAAAAATATGAAGTGGCTATATTTGACATCTGCTTAAAAACAAAAATAGATTTTCCCAGGATTCACAACTTTATCCTTTAGGGAATACTTATTGTTTTGTTTTTGTTTTTTTTTATCCTCGTATTTAGAAGATGGAATCTCCATATCTGTAAAGTTAAGCCAAAGCAGTAGTGGCCTGGGGAAAATCAAGAAAAATGCTACTTCTCACTTCATTTGTCACCTCAATAAACAGCAATCAGTTATTTCAGCTCGTTTTTTTTATCATATTGTACGTTCTCTTCTGATGTTGCATTCCGAAAAAAAAAAAAAATTATTAGGGTATAATTTCATTATTGGATAACTTATAAATAAATTATAAGTGTGTAGTATCCTTGTTTTTTTTCATCTGATTCCTTACCTCACTCATTATGTTTGGTTTCAAAGAGAAATGATAATACACCAAGCAGAGGGCTTCAAAACAAAAGCCAACAAAACAGTAGGTGACGTCATGGTGGCGATGTCCTATTTTTATGTATAGTCTACAGTCTTGGTGGATCACTAAAATAAATTTATGTTTCATGTCTTGTCACGGTTGAATTTAAAATGAGTTATACTGAATATTGGTTTCATTGAATCTTTCAGCCCAGAGCCTCCAGTACAGTCTCCTGTGAGCCGTAACGGATTTGACACGGAGTCAGACGTCTACAAGATGCTGCAGGACTATGAGGAACCTGTCTCAGAACCCAAACAGTCTGGCTCCTTCAAATACCTCCAGGGAATCCTGGAGGCTGAGGATGGAGGTATGGATTCATGTGTTTGCATATTTGTGTGTCTGCTTATCATGTGTGTAAAAATTAGGCATAAAAAAGCATGTGAGTGTTCACTCACTGAACCTTTTAAACTTTATTTGGAGAGATCGCCCATTGCTGCTAAAGATTCTTGATGACATTATTGCACCAATTAACTTTATTGTGAAAGTAAAGTCATTTTATCTTGCTGATTAACCAGTTTGCCCACTACATTTCCAAAAATAGCCCAAGCAATTCAGTTAGACTTGTTGTTCAACACTTCAAAGCAAAAAACTATACTTATATATTGCTTTTAAAAGCCTGAAAATGAGTAGATAATTTTATGTTAGAGAAGAAATTAAGCTTTAAAACTGCCAGTTTTAAGTTTTTTTTAAGTTTGTGTATATTTTCTCTATTTATGACAAGCTGTCATGCAAGAAACCAAACAAACAACACTATATTTATACTTTACAGCAATGATAATATCAGCTGTCAGAATAATTGTCGGTGCCACATACCAAACAGGTATAATGCACAAAGTATCTGCACATCTGCACAAGTATAAATGTAAACGGTGGAAATTTCTGAGTAACTATTTCCTCTAATGCAGATGAGTCTTGTGATTCCAGTTAAAGGGACTTCTTGCACAGGCATTCGTTCACTGACTGTTATGAACTCCTCTGTCTAAGTAGCATAGTTTTCCTTTTATAGAAATACACAGCAAGGTTAGGGGACAGATAGGAAGACATAGGGAGGAAAACAAGATAGAAAGTAAAAAAACCAAAACAAACCCAAGACAAAGGAAGCAGGAGAAAGATTAAGTGCTTTAAAAAGCTTGCATGCAGATTGACAGGGGGAGTTTTTGTAGGGCAATTTACTGCAAAAACAACTTTACAAAGGACAATAAAGTGAGAAATATGGTTTTCCCGTCTGCCTTCTGACCGCCTGGAATTCCAGCTTTTGAGAAGGGAGTCATATGATGCTGACAGCAGCAGGGAAAAGCTAATCCCTGGAACTAAAACCTTCTCTTCACGTTCCATGTTTACTGTTAACGCAGCGCAAGCCTGTTGGTATGTTCAAACACAAATAGCATGGGCCTCAGAGAAAAAGATCTGTCACCAGTGACTAAGGATTTTCTAAACCTCAGATATTAACATTGACACATCTTTAAAAAAATTCCTTTAACCCTAATTACATGTAAAAAAACACTATATAAACTTCTCCACTGCTATAAAAAGGCTCTAATGAGTAAGTACGTCATCTTTGTAATGCTAATTCTTACTCAAATATCCGTCCCCCATCCAAAGAGGGTATACAAACTGACTATACATATGACTATACCTACTATTACATCAGCTTTTGATATACGCCAGTTATCCAAGATTTGGGAAATTTATTTGTTATCACAGTTAATATATTATTATTATTATTAGTAGTAGTAGTAGTAGTAGTAGTAGTAGTAGTAGTAGTATTGTTGTTATTGTTTTTGTTATAGTAAATATATATGTACATAAATAAATAATTGTATTTTTTCAGGATCTACAAATCAAAACAGAATTTAAAATGGCAATAAAATGTTAAAATAAAAGACAGTAGACAGGTATTGCAACAAATTAATAAGAAAATTCAGTATGGATGTAGATTTCAATTCATTTGTACCATGAAAATGTCTTCTGTTTGTTTTTGTTTTTTTGTTTTGTGTTTTTCATCAAATGCAAGTCCATGTTTACTAGATAAGATTATATAACTCACAACTGCTGCCTTTAATGTGCAGGGTAAATGATGTTGAGGGCCGTGTTCTAACCACAACAGGATCATTTCCACCTAAGTAGTTTTTGTGCCTGAATTTATACAGGAAGTGTAATCAAATAAGAATGAAAAAGTAAACTAATTAGCAAAACACAAAACTCCTGAATGAGACACAAACCTCTTTTAGCTGGCGGGCAAACTCGTGACTTATTCTTTTGCCAACCCTCCAACCTCCAAATGTGGACGTTTTTAATCTTTAAAAGAAGATTATCTCACCTTAATGCCAGAGCTAGCGCAAAAGGGCACCAAATCCAAAGTAAAACTTATCAGGACAGCAGTATGCACTGGATATT